GAATTCTGACTTGCTGTTCATGAATATTTCCCTAGAAAATTATTTCACTCTTCAAGTGCAGTGGAAGTACATCCTGTGTTTTGAAGACTCTTTAAATTATTAGTCTAACTTCTCTTGGGAGAAGCTCCACTCAAAAGTCTGGGATTAAAAGTAAAAGCAGTCTCTTTCAAATGCTGCAATCATTTGTGTTGGAAAAGATCTCCAAGGCCATCGAGTCCCAGCTGGGCCCAATCCCCTCCTTGTCCCCAGTGTCACATCCAGTCAATCCTCGACCACCTCCAGCTCAGAGCCTCCCTGGGCAGCATCTTCCGAGGCCTGAGCATCCTTTCCATGGGGAAATTCCTCTTGGTGTCCACCCTGAGCCTCCCCTGGCCCAGCCTGAGGCCGTTCCCTCTCCTCCTGTCCCTGTTCCCTGGGAGCAGAGCCCGACCCCCCCGGCTGTCCCCTCCTGTCAGGGACTTGTGCAGAGCCAGAAATTCCCCCTGAGCCTCCTTTGCTCCGGGCTGAGCCCCTTTCCAGCTCCCTCAGGAATTCTCCAGCCCCTTCCCATCTCCCTCAGGAATTCTCCAGCCCTTTCCCATCTCCCTCAGGAATTCTCCATCCCCTTTCCCATCTCCCTCGGGAATTCTCCAGCCCCTTCCCAGCTCCCTCAGGAATTCTCCAGCCCCTTCCCAGCTCCCTCATCCATTTCTCCTGGGATTTACTGTCAGCTTTATCCAGATGCCTCGTGCCAGTGTGGGAGCAGGAGTTTGATGCTGAACAAAAGTTCATTGAGTGTTTGGCAGTGGTGCCCACGAAGGAAAAAAGTCCATCATACATTTATGGATAAACTCTTGATTTAGGATCTCAGTGAGTTCAGGAACAGGCAAGGAGACAATGCAGGGGGTTGTGGCCATAAAGGTAATTTTCCTTCCCATGGCAGGGGTTGAAATGAGATCCTGAAGGTCCCTTCCACCCCAAACCATTCCGCAATTCCTTGTCAGGTTGTTGTAGTTATTGCTCTGGGAAGAGGCAGGGATGGAAATCTGAGCTGCCCAATCTGGATTTCATGGCCACTGTGTATATTTAGCTCAGGGTTCACCAGCTTTTGCCTTTGGAGCTCGGCATCCGACACCCTGGGACGGCTTTACGTGCGGAATGTTGGAGCTGGGATGGGCAACGCCCCTCTTGGCTTCTCCTGTCAAGTGATCTTCGTGCCCTGTATGTGTTGGAGACACACTGGGAGTGTTGGGCGCTATTTAAAGGGAGCTGTTTATCCAGAGTTTTGGAAACCAAGCCTGAAGGGTGACAGAACAGGAAACTCAAAAGGTTGAGGGGCTTTTTCCTGCAAGGCACAGGAAACAGTCCTGAATTTGGGATGGGAAAACAGAAAGTGCTGCTTGTTCAGGGAATTTAAGGGAGCTGATATGGGTTGTTCTGATACAGGGAATGGCACATTCTTGCTTTCTGTTATAAATTCAGTGGCACTGAAGTGCATTCCACCAGGCTGGACTCGCTGGGATAATCCAGAGCATTGCCCTCTCCTGGCATCGTGCTCAGGGACAACCCCTGGGCACACAGAAAGTCCTGGGTGCTTGGAACTGGCAGTGATGATAATTTGGTGAGGTGGATGTGGGCAGCCACTGGCTTACATCCTTTTTTTTGGGTGGGTTACCAAGATGAGCTCAATGTTTTCCCTCAGGATCAAGCAGACTGGGAGTTCGTCCTCCAAAGGGCTGCCTCTGGAAACTGGTTGAGATGAGTAGAGATGCTACTGAAAGTAGTAAAAACCTTCAAAATCACAAAAACCTGAAGGGAATTGGTAATGTTTGCCCTGAAATATGGCTGTGATTTTGGAATTTCTCTGAATACCCATTGCATTACAGATAGGGGGTGTTTGGGGAGCTCTCAGGTGAGACTGGGAGTAGTCAGTCCAAGGGATTCTGTATTTCTGGGAGGGGAATCTCTGAAGCTGGAGGAGAATTTGGAATGTTCTGTACTAAGGGGATGAGGAGCTGAGGTGTTCGAGACACAGAGTGTGTGCCCTTATCTCTCATACCTGGCTCTGACATCCAAGAAAACACTGAATTTCATATAACACCCTAAAAACAACTGTTAAATAAAAAAACTAAGAGTGCAAGTGTGTAAATTAGAGAGTTTTCTCTAAGTCACTACGTGAAAAAATTCAAGTTTAGAGTTTAAACTAGTTTAGAGAACAGAAGATGGAAGATTTAGGGTCTTGTCTCTGTCTTTTTTCTTCTTCTTCTAGAGGTTTTTGAGTAATTGTAAGTGATTAAATAAAGAATGCCACAGTGCAGCACACAGGTGTAAGGTCATTAAATCACTAAGAAAAAATAATTTACGTGTCTATTGTTAATTGAGTGAAAATAAGTATAAAAATAAAAGAATTGTGTATTTTGAGGCCATTTTGTACCATTTGAGCCATTTTAAGCCAGGCAATAGTGAATTGAACTTGAGCAGAAAGTCTAGGGAAGACCTGCCAATAATAGATATTCATTATTCTTGATAATATAATTAATTATGCTTGATAATATATTAATAAACATGAGAAACAAGAGTCTAATGAACTTTTAGAATATCCTTCCTGACACAGAACTAAAATGAGCAAAACTCCCTGTGAGGGAATATCCCAGAAGAACTCAGCCCTGAAAAGACCTGCAAGGCTTCTGCAACTCGGAGTCTTCCTTGTTTATCTGATTGATCTTGTGATAAATTATTCCTAATTTATTCCTATTCCTAATTTATTTTATGAGGAGACAGGGTGAAGTATCTCAGATTATTTTAAGACCCAATACATAAGAAATCTTTGCAGCAACACCTTAAATTTCAGGAAATCTGTTGGTGTGGGGTAAGAAGCACAAATACTTAACACTTGTGCTTGTCAGTGAGAACTCCCCCTAACTTAAAGAGCATCAATTTTACAGTGGGGGCACAGTACAGGAATTCTGCCCTTCAGGGGTTATTTAGAGAGCAACCAGAGGTGCAGCTTTATCAAGGAAAAAGTTGGTTTACCCAGACCAGGAACCTGTGGTGGATTTTATCTCACAGTTCCCAGGCTGACCCAGCACCGCCCATTTGAACTGGAGCAGCGCTAAAACTTCTCATTTTCTTCAATTCTGCCCAAAAAGAGAGGTCTCAGGGTTGTTTCTCTTAACAAATAAGGTAAAGTTTTAGTGGTTTCTGTGCAAAGAGATTGGAATCTCATGTGTGAGAGTGGATCACAGCAAGATCTGTGGGATGGATGCCAGGGGAGCAGCCGGTGGGGCTGCGGTGCCTTGGGAAGTGATGTGGGTGTTCTCCAGTGGGAAGGAGCTGGAGAGGAGGACCCTGATGGCCCAGTTCACCCCAGGATGGCTCATCTGCAAGCAAAGATGTGGGGAAAGGAGGTGTGGGTGTGGTGGGTGTTAGCAGGGTCCCTCTGTGGGGAAGGGGAGCAGCAGAGTCACCACACAAGAGCTGACACCGAGCACCTCGTGCAGCTGAATCCTGCTCCAGAGATTCCTCCAGTCCTTAATTCATGTGCTGCCTCCCTTTCCCAGCCCTTCTGAAGGGAGCAGGGCTCTTCTGGAAGGCTTTTCTCATTCCTGAGTGCTTCATTGCTTTGCTGAAGCTATGATGACACTTTTCACTGGGCTGATTCCTCATTTAGCTGAAAGCTCTGGCATTTTACTTCCTTGGAACATGAAATGTCCATCTGTGGGGAGAGGAACACAGATTAGTGTTGGTGTCTGACTGCTGAGCAGGTCCTGAGATGATATTTTCCTGTGAGATTGGCTTGATGACTTGCAGTGGTGGAGAACAAGTTGGACATTTATTTCTCAGCATGGATTGAAATACTTGAAGTCCATGACTGCGTTTTTATGTTCTCTTCTGCAAGGGGGCTATAAGGAGTAATTATTGGGATAGAATTTTTTTTTAAACAGCTGTGTTTGCTTCACAATTAAGAAATATTATCAACAGAATGTAAAATAATGGGTAGAAGAATTTGGAATGGGACACCCAGGTGAGAAGGAGGTTCCCTGGTAAATCTGGTGGGAGAAGCTGCACTGGAATCAGGGAGAAGCAGGGAAAAGAGCTGGAGCACATAAGGGTGGGCTCATGACCAGGCTGTGGCTGTCACAGGTGGCTGGGCAGGTGTGACAGGGACTGACAGGGGCCCTGTGAGCTCTTAAGCCATTCACTGAGCACCTGAAATGCTGCTTAGGGCAGGGATGTCCTGATCAGCCTGGATTAATTCAGCTTTAATGCAGTGTTTGAGAAAACCTATTAAAGTGTGTAAGGAGGGAAAAGTCACTCACAGTTTTCATGGAACAACCCAGACCAGCTGAGCAAGTGTGGGTGGGAAACAGCAATCACAGGGTGGTTGGAAGGTGGGGGGACCTCTGGAGATCCCCCAGGGCAGGGTGAGCTGCAGCAGGTGACACAGGGATGTGTCCAGAGACTCCAGGCCCCCCTGGGCAGCTGTTCCAGGCTCTTCCTCCTGCTCAGCTGCAGCTTGCTGCCTTCTGCTCTGTGGCCACTGCTCCTTGGCTCCTGGCTCTGGGCAGGGTGTGGCCCCTTCTCCTGGCACAGCTGGAGAGATTTGTGTGGATGGATGGGATCCCCTCTGAGCCTTTCCCTTCTCCAGACTGCCCAGGCCCAGCTCCCGCAGTCTCTGCTCACCAGAGACGCTCCAGAGCCCTCAACATCTCTGTGGCCTCTGCTGGAGCCTGTCCTGCAGCTCCTGGTCCTGAGGAGCCCAGAACTGGACACCAGATTCCAGCTGTGCCTCAGCAGAGCCCAGTAGAGGGGCAGGATCCCCTCCCTCAATCCTGATCCAGCAAGTGACATCTTATTCCTGTTGAGGAGGCAACGCTAAGAAAAGCTGCCTGGATCACTGGAGAAGGACTGCAGCCAAATCTGCCAAGTTTTAGTTAATTCTGAGTAACACCACTCATGTCCCAGCATCCCTAATTTGCCATCCTGTAATCACACAATTCCTTCTGCTTTGTGTCTTGCAGATAAGCAGTTTCTGAGGACTGAAGTACCTGCCCAGGGAGCACCTGCTTGTGAGGTAGGAACTGATTTTCTAATGAGCCAGCAGCGGATGTTTAATTCAGCAGCAGAGGTTTGGTACAGCTGTGTGTGCACACCAGAACAGCTGGGCTGGGAGCTGCAGCCACCATGCAGAGACCTGAAATGAGACTTGTGCCACTGGGAACACGTCTGGAACGCACCCACCTTTCCATTCTGTTCTGTTCAGCCTTCCAACTGCTGCTCTTTTTACATCCTTCCAGTTCCAGTCCTTCCAGGCAGAATCATGGGAAGGTTTGGGTTGGAAAGGATCTTCAGGATCATCCCATTCCCACCCCAGCCATGGCAGAGACACCTCCCACCATCCCAGGCTGCTCCAAACCCCATCCAACCCGGCCTTGGGCACTGCCAGGGACCCAGGGGCAGCCCCAGCTGCTCTGGGAATTCCATCCCAGCCAGGAATTCCTTCCCAATATCCCATCCAAGCAGTGGGAGCCATTCCCTGTGTCCTGTCCCTCCATCCCTTGTCCCCAGTCCCTCTCCAGCTCTCCTGGAGCCCCTTCAGGCCCTGCAAGGGGCTCTGAGCTCTCCCTGGAGCTTCTCCTCTCCAGGGGAACATTCCCAGCTCTCCCAGCCTGGCTCCAGAGCAGAGGGGCTCCAGCCTTTCAGGTATTTATTAAAGTTTCAGACGTTCCTGGAGTTCTGTTTGGGATTAGAGGGTTGGTGTGGAATTCCAGGCTTTTCCTTTCTGTGCCCTCGGACCTTCTTTCCTTGCCTTTTCTGCTTCAAAGGGCTCACATCTCGTTTAACTTGGTCACTCAAATCTTCTTTTTATCAGAGTAAGAGGACTACAAAAGATTAAAATGGGTAAACTAGGCTAAGAAAAACAAGTCTGATTTGATTTGTTAGGAATTGGATCATCCAAGCAGCGGATCATCCAAGTTTTTTATCCTAGCTGTCCTTTGTGGAAGGCACATCAAAGCTCCAGTTCACTGGAATCTGCCATCAGGTCTGCAGTTGTGATGTTGGAGGTGCAGGTGCTCACCTAATGTGGTTTGGGGAAGGAATTACAGTTTATTCTTGATTTTTGTGTGGATTGAGAGACCCAGGTGTCTCCTGCAGAGCAGTTTGGAATTGTTCTTAAATGCTGGTTATGTCTTGAAGTCCTGAGAGGAATATTGGCTGTTTTCTTTGCTGTTTGGTTCATCCTTTTCCTGTAAAAGAGGCCTGAGCTGTAAGTGGCAGTGCTGGTGCCCCTTGGCTGGGAGGAGTGCAGAGGAGTCACACTGATTTAACATCCCCATCTTTATCCACTCTGATCTCCTGGAACTGCCTGCAGGCAACAGGAGTCTCCTAAAACTCAGTTATGGGATAAAAGTGTTCCTCAGGTGCCTTTTTTTTTCCTCAGTGTCCTTAAATGGCAGACACAGAGAGAACACAGTAGGTGCAGAGTCCTTTATTTTCAGTGGGGCTGATGCTCCTGGTCATGGTGGGACTGGAAGGGGCTCCTGTGTCGCTGTTCCTGGGGTGGCTGGAAGCTGTTCCCTATTCCTGGGGTGGCTGGAAGCTGCTCCCCTGTTCCTGAGGGGGCTGGAAGCTGCTCCCCTATTCCTGAGGGGTCTGGAAGCTGCTCCCCATTCCTGATGTGGCTGGAAGCTGCTCCCCGTTCCTGAGGTGACTGGAAGCTGCTCCCCTATTCCTGAGGTGACTGGAAGCTGCTCCCCTATTCCTGGGGTGACTGGAAGCTGCTCCCCATTCCTGAGGTGACTGGAAGCTGCTCCCCGTTCCTGAGGTGACTGGAAGCTGTTCCCCGTTCCTGAGGTGGCTGGAAGCTGCTCTCTTGTTCCTGGGGTGACTGCTCCCCGTTCCTGAGGTGACTGGAAGCTGTTCCCCTATTCCTGAGGTGACTGGAAGCTGCTCCCCGTTCCTGAGGTGGCTGGAAGCTGCTCCCCTATTCCTGAGGTGACTGGAAGCTGCTGCCATGGCTGTGTCCAGGCTCCCTGGGGCACTCCCAGCTCCTCCTGAGGCTGTGGCCGCCGGCCAAACCATCTTAAGTCGTTGTCTCAAAGGCACTTGAAGAGAAGCCAGGGAAGATGGCTTATCTCCCCTGGGTGGGATGGAGGGGGGCTGTGCCCAGAGTGCCCCACGTGCTCGTCCCCGTGGCCCCAGAGGGCCTGCAGAGGTCACAGGAGGTCGGGTGTCACCTCCTCTCAGGGAGAAACCGGACAGGGAAGGTGACAGAGGAACGGGAGAGCTTTGTGTTTTCCTTCCTGAACCTGCCAGTCTTGAGTGGATTTTATTTTTCCTCTTTTCTACCTCTCTTGGCTTGGCCCAGTGTGGTCTGAAGGTCTCCCAGGCTTCTGGGATGTCTGGACTCGATTCAGGCTTCATGGAGTATCTCCAGTTGGAAGAGACCCTTAGGGATCATCGAGTCCCAACTGCCTGCTCCTCATGGAACCACCTAAAACTAAAAATCCCATGACTGAGAATGTTCTCCAGGCACCCCCAGATCTCTGAGAAGCTGTGTTGTACCTCCCAGCTTGTCTAGGGAGGTGACTTTGCCGTTAGGATTTTCCTCCTTGCGTTTCTCCCTTGTACAAGCCCAGGAGTTCCAGGCACTCATGTACCTCTCCACATTGGTTGTTCCACTGTTTTAGGACATGCAAACCAAGCAGGTGTTTCCCACAGACTGCACTGAGCAGCTAAAGTGCTTCCTGGAGTGATTTATCCGGGAATGTTTAATCCAGGCTCGTTGAGGATGAATAAAGGCAGCTTCCTCCCCCACATCCTCTGGGCAGCTGGGAGAGCAGGAGGAAGGAGGAAGCCTCGCTGGGATTGGGGCACTGGCTGCTCCTGGTTGGTTTGAGCTGGCTGAGGAACATCTTGGGTTCTCTACAAACCTGAGCCTGTTCTCTCAGACTGTCCCTCAGTTCTTCCTGCTCATTCCATTGTGAGCTCTTCCAGCCAAGCCCAGGGGAATGTTTGCTCATCCCTCTTAAAATGCTGACACTGACCATGCTTGTGGCATCTTCCTTTGGCTCCATGTGTACAGGCAGGGAGAAAACACTTCTGGAAACGTTACCTGCTGGATAAATTTCTATTTTGCTGTGTAATGGCTCTAACTGGGAAGAAACACCCACAAACCCACATCTTCAGGGTCACTTTTATTGGGGGTAAGGTCCTGGCACAGGTGCCCAGAGCAGCTGGGGCTGCCCCTGGATCCCTGGCAGTGCTCAAGGCCAGGCTGGACAGGTTTTGGAGCACCCTGGGACAGTGGAAGGTGTCCCTGCCATGGCAGAGGTGGCACTGGATAGGCTTCAAAGTCCCTCCAACCCAAACCATTCAGGGATTTGAGGATTCAGAGTCACTTTACCACTTAAGGTTATACTTTCTTAAAGTGATATGAGAAGCACCCTTAATTAAAATCAAAAAGTTTTGTTTGTTTTTCTACACTGAATAATTATTTATTTGGTCTCCTCTTTTTCCTCTTTTGGAATTGCTGTGTCCAAGGGCACCTCAGTGTGGCACTGGACGCTGCAGCTGTACCTGTGATAAGAAAGTGAATCATTCTCTAAGGAAACCACCTCACCATGCCTGATAACGCTGCAGGGACACCTGGAATGTCTTTTATTGCTCCTTCTTTCATCAAATCTCAGCTTCTGTTTTTTAACCAAAGCCTTGTTTTCCAGGCACCCTTGAATGTGTTTGTTATCAGGAGCACGGAAATGTAAATACAATGGTGGTTGGGCTGCAGCAGCTCCTCCCTTCCTCCCCCTGCCTTCCTGCGTGCACTTGGGAAGGGGGAGCTGCTCTTCTGCACTAATTCATTTCAGAAAGGACTGTTCTTGCCCCTGCTGCCACCCCATCAGATTTCAGAGAGACACAATTCTCTCCTTGAGACCAAGAACTAGCACAAGGCCTCGTGCTGTGGCTCCTCTTGGCATTTCCCCAAGCTCCTGCCTACCAGCACATCCCATTTTTTAACTAGATAAGCCACACAGGCACTGTTCTACTTGAGCTAAGACTGCATTCTCCTGCTTGCAACATTTCAGCTCATTTCCTAGAAGAAAAACTGAAAAAATCAGAGCCTTCAGCAGCCTGAGTCTCCCAGCCCAGGGTTTGCAGCTGTTTTTGAGAGCTGCTGCCCAAGTGAGGTTGTGCTGGGTGTAGTTGGCCACTGGGAGCTAATGTTGGTTGATCTCTCAGTCAGCAGGAATTTTGTCATTAAAACCAGGTCAGGATAACAGAAAGGCTCCAATGCAGAATTTGTTCTTTGGCCTCACTCGGGAGGAATTGGGTTCAGCTGTTGGATGTGAGCAGTCACTTGGCCTCACTCTGTGCCTGTCATCTGCTTTTTTTACTGAGTCTGTCATGAACTTTGTATGGCAGGAACAACTTTCTAAGGGCAGAGTTGTTTCTCTTCAGTTACCAGGCCTTTCTTGCCCCAGCAAATGTCCCTGATGTGTCTGTACCACACTCTGGCTGCTCCTGTCACTGCCCAGGAGTTGAGTGATGCTCTCCTGGCCCTGGGCCAGCCGTGGGGCTGAAGCAGCTCAAGAAAAATCCCTGGGATCCTCTCTAAGAATAAACATCACGTGAGAGCAGGAGGGGTCCCCCTGCTTGGGGGAGAATTAACGTGTCCTGTTGGGAAGGAATAACAGCAGCAGCTTAAGGGCTGGGCTGGTTTCCCTCTGGCTGAAGGGATAAGCTGCAAGGCCACAGAGGGGCTGGCCTGGAGCTGCAGCTTTCCTTGCTGCAGAGCATAACAGGGTGCTTTCAGAGCCTGCTGTCTTCATAAATCAAGTCCCCTTTAGAAGGAGGTGGAAATGCTGTGGTCTGGTGGAGCTCCCTCCAGCTGAAATCCTGCTGGCTGTGCCACTGACCACGTTTTCAGGCCCTTCCCTGGAGCTGTGTCTTGGCTGTCCCTCCCCTGGGAGGTGCTGGTGCTGCCTGGTGGCTCCTGGTCTGGCGCTGGCACCGAGGGATGCTGAGCTACTTCATCATCCCAGGAATTCCCTGGCCCAGGGGGAAGATCTCTGC